TAATTTAACCCTAAACTCTAAACCCATTAACCCAACCTTATCCTCCACCAGGGATGCCGAAGCGTCTTCCATCCTCCGACCCGGGTATGGAGGCTTTTTGAACAGATGCTGGGGATATATAGGGATCCTGGAAGAGAAGATGGAAATTACTACTACAATAGGGTATGTCTTGGGGTTATGGTAGGGAATAACGAGATGTATTTTGTACAGGATAGACAGAAGATTCTGTTCGTATACAGGGATGCTCAGGAGACCTGCATAAGATGAGGAATGCATAGGAACGGTTGAGGGATCAGGCCCTTCAAAAACTCTTCAAACACTGTATACTGCAAATGTGGACGAGCCCAGGGTTCGTCGTAGGGCCGCCCTACATCGCCTGACTCCTTGTTTTGGCCTCTGGTTGCATACCTCTGCTAGGAACACTTCGTACGGAGATGTCCCACAAAAGTGCTTTGTCAAGCCGTGTTACATTCCCACAAGGCCAAGGCTTTTGGCTCGCGACCTTTTGTTAAACTCCGCAGCTGTCCTGATGCTCGATAGCGTCTGTGCCAACACCACTACGGTGTCAACGCTGGCGACGCCTACTGGGAAACTACCGGGAAGTTTCTGCTAGGGCAGTTGAGGGCTTAGCTAAGGCATCCAGGTTCCATTAAATGATGCAGGGGCATTTTTAAGTAGAATAGAAAGTTTGTGGAGGGTTTGCTATACTTTCAGTAGAATCAGGGATCATCTTCCCAATTGTTCAAGCCTCTACATCAGTGACGCTACGATGACCGGTCCTCTTTGTAGAACGCCTGCCGGTGTGCACATCAGCAAGCCCTCGTGGTCGCGACGCTCTGCACTAAGGCGGAAGGTCTGGAAGACCTCAAAAAGACACCTGGGGATGTCTCAGCACAGCTCGTATGTTTGTTATTCGTACCATGGCTGCTGCTGAAATTCTTCTTCCACGTTCACTGCAGCAGCGTATTAGGCCCGTAGGGACACCCAAAAAGAAACCCTGCTTTTGGAAACCCACAGTTGGGGCTGAGATCTCACTACGGTTCTCACGCGCTGCTTGTCGACCAGATTCAGCTCGCCGGGGGTGCCAGAAGAGACATGTGTTGTTAGGGTTTAGGGTTTGATGGGAAAACTCTCAGAAAAGAACCATGCCCATTGCTAGACGGCGGCATGTTTTGCTAGAGCTTGCATGAGACAGGAGGTTTATCAACAGCCGGTTTTGTACATACCTCAGAGAATGAGGATAGCGAATATAGCCCCGCATGACTGCACATCAAGGTCATAATTGTCATAAACATCGTCAGTGGTTTTGAGCGATGGCGGCGGTGGCGGTGGCGGCGGTGGCGGCGGCGGCGTTGGTGGCAGGCCTGGTGGTAGTAGCAGTGATGGCCTGCTACTCGGTAATCATACGCCACGAACTACCAACACGGCACGTTGTTTCCCTCAGGTTTCTGTATGCCTGTGACCATGATGTTCATCATGTGATGCACGGTTGTTATTTAAGGTCTGGGCAACTGGTCAATGGGAAATTGATGAGTGTGTTATAGTTTTCCAATTTTCGGTGTATATGTTGTCGTTATCGTTTTTGGTGAGTGTGTCTTCGTTGTCCGATCAAAACCCTTGCATCACGAATCCAATGTCCATCCCTTACATATTTCCTATGACCGATAAAAAACACACGTCATGTCCTTTGCTACGACCACTAACCTATAATATACCTTAATACACTATGATATTCTGTTATAACACTATAATATACTACTATTATATCCCTGCTTTCGGGAACTTCCCACCAGGATCGCCGCAATGCCTGCGCATTTTCCTCAGCTCGAGGCTTGGCAGCTTTCTGCGGATGTATGTATTAGGGTTCATAGAGGTTATATAGGGATAATGGAAACGAACATGGAAGTTACTATTTAGGATGTAATTATTGTTTGGGTATAATTGGGTTACATGGGGGTTATCATATCGGGTTAGATTGGGATTATAAAGGGGTTATTATATAGGGGTTATATATTGGGGATATATATAGGGCTATAATGGAAAAAAGAACGGAAACTGCTACAATGGGGTAGTTCTCTGCACGAACTGGCTCACAACCTGCACAAAGCCCACACATTTTCTCAAACTGCGGATGCGTAGCGAAAAAAGATCCCCGACCTTTGCATCCGGCCTCATAGAAAATCACATCCCGTACGACTTGAAAAGTGCAAGTCTAGCCGGTTATGGTGCAGGCGCAAAATGGGTGTTTCTCAGCACGTGTCCCTCGCATCTCTTCATAATGGAACCTCAGAGTGCCAAATTCTGAAAATTCCCCAAGTCTTCTTAGCCTTAGGGTCATAAATAACTTGAACAGGGGTAGAGTCGACTAGATATATTCAAGGACGATAAAGGAACAAAGTTGGTAATCACCCTAAACCCTAAACCCTTCTACATGAAACAACCAAGGTTCGTCCAAGATCATGGCCGTCCCCTTGCAGGTGGGGCTCAGCAGTGCCAAATTGAAGGAGGAGGCCATAGGATCACCCTTTCCTAGGCCACAGTGTGTCTAGAGGGGTTATTTAGGGGTTATGGTTATATAGGGGTTATATAGGAATTACGGAAAATATAATGGAGACTACCATATCATAATGGGGTATATATTCGGATTATAGTCCCCCTGAAGTACATAGAATGCTACATGAGAACCATGTTATGATATTTCGGGAAACTGCATATTCCATCTATTTAAGGGCGACTATGGGCTCCATGGTTTTCAGGCATTTCTATGGCTTCAGGGCTTGCTCATGTAAGGGTGCCTGGTTGTGAAGAGTTCATACAGGCGCGATCTTCAGTGCTGGTGCGCAACCAAGGAGTACAAGAAAAGGGCTATACAGGCACCTTGCTCGACCGAGTTTCCGAGCTCAATATCCAGGCGCCACTGGTTGTTGCCTGGTAGAAGAGCTCCCTATCCAAACAGAGGTTCAGACTTACGTTCTCAGCTTCCCATGAGCCTAAATGGCTTGAACTGACATGAGTAAAACACTGCTGCTACGACATAACTGTAGGCATGTGCAAGCCCGGCAACTTCAGAGAGTACACCTTTTCTGGGGAAATGATCCCAAGAAGCAAAAAAAGAGTAAAGAGTACTAACTCAGCTGGCACAGGTGCTAAAAGAGCAGATCCAGCAGCCCACATCTTGCCAAGATTTATCGCCATCCGCCAAGCTGAGTGCAAGGCGGCGCAAACTCTCTACGAGGTCTGGGAAAGGGTTGTGCCAACCTTACTAGTGGAATGGAAAACGACATGAAGGGATGTATGATTTAAGGTTTGTAACATGGGGATCCAATACTTCATTCCATGCGAATCATCGGAAAGCAACAGTGGGACACGAACCACTGCACCATGACTGGCCCCGCCAGCTCGGCATAGGATAGCTGCTCTGGCTCTGTGAGGGGATTGAGGAGGTTAGCCGCCACATAATGCATGTCGCGCTTGCGAATAGTTTCATGAAAGTAGGTATAAAACTCACATAACTTCCGGGCTGCAAGCGCACGACCTGGCCCGCTGTCAACCGGACTGGGATTGGAATCACGCCCTGCGAGCAACTTCTGCCGCCAGTGTTGTCTCTTGCGCGCCAGGGGCGTGAGAAAACTTGCCCTCCAAAAGCAGAAGTAGGCAGAGAGGGAAGTCATTAGACAAAAAGCCAGACCTAATATGAAGGCTGGCAGCACTTCTTCCTCGGTTTTCCGAGTGTGAGTGAGCAGAACTACAATAATGCTCACGCCGAGAGTGTCCAGCACCAGAGCCACTGGGCCCACAGGCAAGGACCCAACACTTGCACCCAACAAGGTGCTCCGGCAACGCAGCCGGAGACTGCCTCGAGAGCACTCGATACTTTCTGTGACATGGGCGCCCGTGGCCGCATCGAGGAGCCAAACCTCATCATAATGTCGAACCTTTGCACGAAAGATGCCGCCCTTGGCCTCAATCAAGGGGTGGCGAGTGTCAGAGAGCTGCACAATCAGAGGCAAAGGGGACCAGGCCCACATGCGGTGGCGCCCGCAGGTTTGCACCACTACGCAGCCATCTTCCATGAGAATGTCGTGCACTGGCACAGGACGGCCCAACATCAAAGGCAGCAGCAAGGCCTGCATTGTGACCAGAAGTATCAGGGCCACGTTGAGCGGCAAGAACAGGATCCTAGATATTGTCGGCGTGCAAGCGAGAAGGGTGTAACTCTCAGCTGGTGAGCTGTAGCCGAATGGACAAGCCACACAATAGTCGCCATCCTGCCAGGTCCCTTCAGGGCAGCTTTTGCACTCGAAGGGCGACGATGCGATACGACCTGCTCCACACACGTAACACTCTGACAAGCCGGTTTGCAATGCCGCCGTACCAGCGCTACAGGACGTACACGCAGTGCTGCCAGAACCTTAGATGCAGGATGTGCTCCAAATCTTTAAATCTCATAGCATCACAGTACAAGTCTGCGCACACGCGCTGCGCAAAACAGCCGGTTTGAAATCCGAAGGGCTGTTGGCAAAATGGCCAACTTCACATGGCTCACACTGCAACATCACAGAGCGGGCGCTTGTGTACTTGCCAGGGGGGCACGCTTGACACTCCAGCTGGCCGAATGAGTCGGGGTAAAAGAATGTACCTGAGTCTTGGTATGCAGCAGAAAGTAGCGGCCTTGACCCATACCTGTTTGGTCTTCCAAGGATCTCTCATAGGAAACCGGAAGCAAAAATGGAGACACCTCTCAGAGATCAAGGTGCCCTTTGGGCATCCCAGGAGGCTATCGCGCGGATTCCTACAACGCTGGTCATTCCTCCATTGGAAGACGTTGCAAGGTCCTGGGCTATTGCTAAGGATAAGCCATGGGCTTATAGGCTTTGCGGAGCGTGATGACAACTACATTTTCAAACGTAGTTGTCCAACCTGATTAAGGAGCCCCTCTTTCAGGACCCGTACTTTGCAACCCCTAAAACAAGCTCTGTTTAAGCAAAGGCTCATGTCGGCTTCAGTACAATCTACTATTGGTGAGCCCGTAACCTACTAACAGTGACTGCAAAGGACGGTGGACCACAACTAATCTTTCAGCTGTATGGATGCCTCCTATACCACGACTATACGAATGAAAAGTCCATCAAAAATCTACTTGTTGTCGATCCAAGCTCGAAGGAGCTCATCAACAATCGCGCAAGCCTCCTCGTACTGCTGGAACAAATGACTGGTGGGTTTCTAGCTGCCGTAAGAGCCACAACGGGTAAAGCCAAAAGCAGTGGTCCCCCTTTGTATACCCTCAAAACCCCTCAAATAGATATTGAAAACTTGTAAACTCCCGAAACGGGACCCGTAGCATGCCTGCCAGCCCAACTGCTTCGTAGAAAATAGGGCTCTTGGCCCCTTCAAAATCTTCAAGCCCCTTAACTTAACTCTAACCCTACAACACCTAAGAATCAAGCCCTTCGGTCTATATAATATACACTTTATAGACCCTCAACCCGTAACCCTAAACCCAAAGAATCTAAGCCCAGACCCTGAGCTCAGCAGCCTATCCTCCAAAGCCTCCGACGCATTGCCGTTTCCGTAGACGCTTTTCAAGAGAGCAAGGCGCATTGGCTTCACAACCTCTTCAAATTAGTATAGGCTCAGGGCGCAGGGGTTTAGGATTTAGGCAGTATAGGGGCCAAGCGAATGGAACAGGGTTTTGGGTATTTTGCCGTTGTGCTGGAGCCATTGCCAACGCGCATAGGGAAATTGGATGAATGTGGAGCGGTAGTGATCAAGGGTAGAAGCAAGGGCTATGAAGACCTTACCATACGAGGCTTGCCAGAGGCCACCCGGGGTTTGGGAGGCATTCAAATTTGGGAATGATTTCTAGGAAGTTCTGAGGAAAGTCTCATATTGCTAGCGCAAGTGGTGCTGTGATTTCAGATATATCTAGCCCATACGCAGAGTCCGCAGCCCTGAATCCGGTGCCTCTATTTGCGCATATTCCGGGATCGGCGTGTTCGGATACTGGCTGGAAATGCCCTGGGACAAGGCCCTGACCAACGGCTGCCAAACAGGCGAGGACCAGAAGAGCGAGTCATCCTCCAAGCGAAACACAAAGTCATGAGGACAGAAAGAGCTTTGAACATTGTGCATGTAAGGCATATAGTAACTCTTGAGGGTTACCACATGGGTGCACGTATACAGCCGCCTTAGGCCCAGGAATTCCCCAGAAACCCTCAACAGTTTAGAATCTCTTTGGCTTAGCGTGCATTATTCTCCCAGGATCTGTGTCCTTTCAGGCAGGAACAATGCAAGCCACAGCGCTATGAAACCCGAGTAGGGGTACTTTTCAGCAGCTTTCCCTAAACCAGACGCCTGGATTATTACCGATTACTTGCGTACACTCCTTATACAACTATAAAGAATGCGCCCAACACCCCGTTCTACTTGTTCAGGCCCAACTACACCCCCAAAAGATATCCGAAAGCAGTCTCCGGCGCATCCTCCAAAGGCGGTGGGGTCTGCTGGGTCTTCATCATGTTGGCTTGTCCTTCGTTGCTCTTCGCTTCAGGCCATTGGGTAGGTTGTCAACATGATAGTGCCTTTCGGAATCCCCTTTTATGATGCTGCGCCTTGGTATCTAAGGTACCCAACAAAGGGCCTTCATTTTGACAACCTCCCATTTGAGCTTTGTGTCTGACTTAGGTGTCCCGCCCAACACAGCTATAAGCCCTCCTAGGTCCTAGCCTAGGTATACATTTCAAAACTTTCTACGAACATTTTGCCATCAGCCCAATGGCGCATGTAGGGCTTCTTTGGGTCAATGAGCTCCGAGATGATACGCCAGCTCTCTGCATGTCTCCAGCACTGGCCCTCAAAAACGTCTGAGGGCTCCTGACAGCCCCCATCCACCTGGGCTGCTTGTGCTTGTGGTTCAAGGGTCTAAAGACCACAGAGTAGGATTAAAGGTGACGGCATGTACTTACAATTTAGTGACTGATACCCAGTGATTAAAGGTCAAGACTGCTGAGCTGTGGGCACTGTAACTTAAAGTTAAAGTTTACCATAGGCTCTCGTTGCCAGAATGCAGGTGTTGAGGGATTAATTACTGACTGGGTTTAGCAGAAGTCACCGATTCTTTGACGCCTCAACTGCACCAAAGCCCCTGGATATCAAGTTTGTACTGGCCCTAGATAAATCCATGGGGAATATTTGGAACAGTAACGTTCAAGGCATGTACATTAAGTATAGGGGTTGCGCGGGAACTTACGAGGATGCTATGCAGGGCTCAGGAGTTTGTAAGACTGAAGGGACTCTACTGGGAACCCC